TCTTTAATTCTAGCTATACTATGCTGAATATGCTAAACTCTGCCATAAAGTATCAGAAGTGAAGCCAAAATTACTAAAGATAGTTTTTTCATATATAAGAGATCAATATTAGTTATCTGAGATTAAAAGATTAAAAGTCAATATAAAAAAAGGAGACAAAGAATGTAAACAATGAGTTCTTATAAAGTAGGGCTAGAATTGAAGAGTATGTGTAGGAGGTATAGACAATAAATGAAAGTGAGATATATAACAAATTATGAAGACATTGTCAATGTTAATCTACACACATATGCACTCAATGATAAAATTTGAGAGTATCTGAGAGATTATAGAAATATTTAAAGAGTATTGACTTTCAGCAAAATAAATATCCTAAAAAATGCTAAGAACTAACTGAAAAGTTATGAGTTTGAGGTTTCTCTATACTCAATTCAGTCCTCTGAAATCAATGTCATTAACAGTTCTTGGAACCATTTGAGAAGAAAGCTTGGAGAACTGAGAATATTGTCAAAAGAGATATCAAAGTGATAGAAGAGAATGCAGAAGAAATAAGAAGTTGTATCAAAGAAGGCTTGTTCTCATTCAATTTGGAGCATCCCTTGGTAGGTCTACATAGTAATTTATATTAAGAGAAAACTCTAATAAGTACTCAAATTTCAAGTTTTCATTTGATAGAATAGTGTGCAACAAAATCCTTTCAATGAGTAGTGCCCTTTGCAATTCAAGTATCTCTGCCAATTATAAACCAAATCACATAATCCAGAGTGATAATGAGAGCCAAGATACTACACTTTCAGACTATATAACATCAGCACTTTGATATTCCTTCTCAATAAGAAGATATTGCCCATAAAAGCAAAATTTGACAAACATTGAAAGAGTTTTGTGAGTCACTGTACTTCACCAATCCAGTGGTTAAATCAGGACTAGAGCTCAGACCTGCAGTAGTTGCAATAGCCTGCTTGTGCTGCTTTGATCTTTTCTTCACTTTTCTTGCTTGTATGTGACATAGCAGCTCCTCCAAATAGTCAGTGAGTCACTTGTGTGTATTCATTTTCATAGCCTTTTTATATTTACAGGTATGTTCATGGATTGCAAGGCTTCATGCAGACTCAAAGTGGCACGTACAGGCTGAGACACAGTGGAATTGACCACTATTCTCAGATAGGGATGTAGAAGGCATAGGATAGATTAGAGAAAGAACCAGGTAGATGAATAGGATTGAAGCTAGAAATTAGTAGTAAGGACTATGCATATTATCCATAAGGCTGGTCAAATGGCACTGGAGTGCTCAGCGCATGATGCGAAGGAGCTGGCAAAGTTGCTTCAAGTCACATTGGGGGCAAACAGATGACAGGAGCTGGCATTGGACTTGAATTCAGATCTACATGAAACAAAGTCTGTAAATAAGATCTTCAGTAGCTCTGATAATAAGCTACAGAGTTTTATATGATCTACTATATTTAGATAACAAATCTGTTCAATTAGAGAAGAAAAGGGTTGAAGACTGAAACCTTAAATATACCTATACATAGACCCCATCAACACTCCACTCTTCCAATATTCCCTATCTATGTAGGTGATCAACTTCACTGCTGTATGTGCTTGAGTTACTAGCTGATTTCTTGAATTGTCTAACTGATTAATTTTTTTCAAGCTCCAAGATGTCATCGAAGCCAAAGAAAGACAAGAACCATGATTATGCAGGCAAATGAATACCATCAAGCAAGAAGAAAGTTTGGTCTATGAAAGAAAAGTCAGCATGTCCAGAAGCCATTGCATGTGAAGAAATGAGTCAAGCTGCATGGACCAGTTTACTTACCGATATACCGATTCAGTTGGTTCCATCACTTCCCACTCCCACTTCTGCATAGAAAGTGAAGAGCACAAAATCTGTCTCCACATCTGCAGATCCTGATAAAACCAGTCAGCAAACAAACCAGATCATATTGAAGACCCCAGCCAAGCTGAAATCTTCCAACCCTAAGAATGTAGGTGGAGATGACAAGAAAGTGTTTGTACTCAGATTACACTTTGAAGTATCTGCTAACAATTCTTCATCTAGTGATTCTGAAGAGAAGGATCTGGAACCTAGCATGTAAGTGTATTATAATGCAGGTATAGTATTTGCTCAGAGAGGAGATCCATTTGGATTGATTGAGAAGATAATTGAAGAGGGTGTATAATATGAGATTGAAGTTCATGCAAAGATGCTTGAGGCTGAGTCTGATGGCAAGAATTCTGATAATAATTCTGACTATTCCAATATTGAATCTGGTGCCAATGATGACTCCTCGTCAGAGTTCAGCAGAGATACATCTCATGAAGAGAGCTCCAGTAATAATGACAGTGGTGAGGACAATTGTTTCAACGAGTCTGATTCTGAGTTGCATATGAACCTAGAGATGCAGTGCATATATTTAAATATCTTCTTGACTACTCCAATGAATGAGTTGCACTTACCTCTCTTACCTTTCACAGATCTACCAGAAGGAGGCATATAATAGACTCATGGAAGATATTGTGTGAAATCCTTTCAAACTTTAAGAAAGAGATATTGGAAGCCATGAGACAGTGCAAGTTGAATGCTGATGGAATTGCTAAAATGGTAAGTGACAGTTAGTCGCTTAAGTTATTTTGTTCAACTTACATTAGGTGACTGCATACTACTTAGATCTCAAAAGAATGTGACAAGGTCTGAAGCAATGATACATCTGATCTCAAGCTAAGCACACTGAAATATATCAACCTCGAGACCAAGAAGCCACTTGATCCTGAAATTAGTAAGAGTGATATTTGAAACAAAGTAATACAGAGTTGGGTATATAAGACAATGTGTAAGTTTTTGCTTTCACTCAAGTATGAGAATGTAGATGCATAAGTTATACAATCTATAATTCAATAGGACTACTTACATGTCTTTTGTAGGACATATATTGCCATCAAATTTGGTGACACTGAGATTACCACTGATGAGTTTTCCAGGTTTCTATATTCAGATAAGCAAGAATATAATAATGATGATGAGGAACAAGGGCTTTTCTATGGCCACTTTCTCCTCTGTGTAAGTTAATCTTGTACATAGCCCAAATGTGTACTGACTTGCTTGGCATATTACAGATTATCAAACATATTTTCTCAGACCCTCAGATGGCTACTCAAGATGCAGGCTATCACAAGAGCAAGGCAAATATTGCCAAGCTCATTGGCCTACTTTCAGTTATCCCTTGTATGGTTACCTATAGTGTAATCCAGGTAAGTCTATTTTTTTTGACTGTACTTGCACTGTATTAATTATTCTATATATAGGCTCACTTCATCTTGAGTCAACAATTGAAGTGGAATACTATTGACATGGACTTTGATCTGGAAGGGTTTTATTGGAACCTGGTTGAGTTGTTGGAGGAGACAGAAGAAGAACTAGTTCTAGCTCATTTCAATGAGTAGGTGGTTGTTTTCTATGTAGACATATCTTACTGATTGACCTTATGACAGACAACTATTTGGCAGGAAGTTTGGAGAAAAGAAAGGCCTTGGTAGTGCCAGTCAAAGCATTTTGAGTCATATCAAGGTCCAACATGCATGAAAGCATACTGAACAGGCAGCAGAGGTGGAATGTCTAGCTAATGCGAAGCATGTGCCAAAGCATATTCGGGTGAACTCTCAAGGTGATATGGAGAATCTTAGCATAGAGACAGCTTGATCATATAGAAACAATTAATGTTATTTTTTCCCATTTCACGATGTGCATGTGAGCTCTAACTGAATGCACTAATTGAAAATGTGACTATAAGATATATGAGAGCCTGAGAGAGTGATATATATATAGCAAAGAGTTATAGGACAAATAGTTAGATATTACTATAAGGCAACCCTGCACTTGATGAAAGATGTGCTATAGGTCCCAAAGAAATATATGGCTACATGTCTTTCGAAAGACTCTCCAAGCACAACATGGCTCTGCGAATATTTCTTTAGGACTCCATTCTGATAGACATCACCAAGACTGTGATGTCTATCGAAGGCAATGATAGGTGATCAGATATTAGAGATGTTTGATATACCACTGTTGGGTCTCTGAGATTTTTCACGACTGTATGCCATATATAGCAAACTAATGCTATAAATGTTCCTCCCAAATTTGCTAATATATCTACCTTATAGGAATCATTATTCTCTACAGACACTAGAAAAATGAAGAGATATAGAAATCTATACTAATAAGATATCTTTTGACTCAATACTTAGTACAGTGTATGTAATAATGAACATAGTGATAGAAAATGAAAATTCTTGTTTAGAAGATTTAGAACACTATTGCTTAGTGCAATTTTAGGAATTGTATCACATCTAGATTGAAAAAAAGTCATATTATATAAGAAAGATATTTAATTAAATTAGGCAAAAAGGTAGCATAGATAGACATGAGACTGGCTATAACTTAAGTACACAATATATTTGTCTTTGCTAGAGCTTAGCAATTAAGTTAATGAGATTGCATCTGCAAGTAGCCTGATATATGTTACGATATGAGATGACTTGTTCTGTTCAAGCTATCACAATATATATTTCAATACTGAGAATTGACATAAATCCCTGAATAAGCACTTTCAAATATGTAAATAAGCATATCATAGTTCTACATATTGTAGAAAACAATTGCAAGAAAAATTCATGCAGTTATAAACCCCTCAGATTCAATGTGAGTACCTATAACAACAACTCTTTGCTTATATAGCCTTGTAACTTGATTATAACCTGCCATTGCCAGGTGCAATAGGTTGCAACTGTTGTTGCAATTTGCTTATAACCAAGCTATAAGCTTTTATAGCATGTTGTAATCAGATCTGGTTAGAATTTACTTTCAGATGTTTGCAACAATACCTAAGAATTTGGATTGATGACTACCCTGTAACTCGGCCCAATTGCAGCTGTTGGGCAATATAATGGTTGTTTCTAATCGCAGTATACAGTGGGTAAGATCGTTTAAAATTGGATTCTTGGGCTTACAAATACAGCGCACAGAACCATTTTAGGAAATGTGAGTAAACAAGAATAAACAAGATCAGTCAGGCCAGTCCGCCTGTGGTGGCGGGCGACGTTGTTCCCAACGACCACGACAACGGCGGGCTTCACGCCGCCTACGACTTTGACAACGATACTCTTAGACACTTGAGACATTACACGGCTATGCGTGAATCTAACTTTGCCTTTCCAACGCAGAACAAGGCATGTGTTTGCATTACTTCCCAGCTCTACGACAAGCGAGGTGGGTTTCGAGGTTTCACTAGCTTGTAGGATGATTTTTCTGACGCTACAGATTTTCAGCTCTCGATACGAACTCGCCGTTACCCCTCTTTAACTCGCTAACACACCTCACATACCTGACTTCAACATCACCTCGAATACGAGAGATCATGACCATGGATGGTGGTCTCGAGCGACTTGTTCGCATTCTCCACGACTTCTGTATGTGCCCTCCTCCCCCAGAAAATCCCGCATTGCTCTATGGTCTATCTCCTCCGGCCGCACAACCTCCGAAACTCGTACCGACGTTGAATCCAAAGACCTTCGATAAGCACGCGGCTTACCGCTTTTCCCTCGCCTTCCAGTGTGTGGTCAACATAGGAGTGCGGGGCAGTGAACCCATACGAAGCAGGGTGGTGCAGGCAGGCACGTTGGAGGTGGTTGGATGCATTCTCGAGGCCTGGTTAGCAGGCAAGGGCTTCGCCGTCGGCCCAGGTGCAAGTGCAAACGGGCTGCCTAGAGAGACAAGGGAACAGAGACTGGCCCGCAGACAGGCACAGAATGAGGCGAGACAGCGGGAGCAGGCGCAACAGCTGCAACGGGCGCTCCAAAGACAGCTCGCTGCAGAGCGTATTAGGGCACAGGACTTATCTGCTGTCATTCAGGAGGTATATATCTCAACTTCGTTTGCAACGAATGGCCATCTGACGTTAATTTTTACGCAGGACGAGTCGATGGAGGTAGAACCGGCAACAACGGAGAATCGCCGACCACAGTCACGCGACACTGATACATCGACAGAGACGTCTTCCAACGCCACTCCAGCTGGTTCCAACACCCCGACAGGCGCTGTTATGGTGCCGAGTAGAGATCGCAGCGGGACGATTATCGCTCGACCAGTGTGGGATCCGACTCCCATAGCTGGTGCGAGTACGAGCCATCATCATCGACGTACTCATCGGATTGCCACCAGATTGACAGTCCCTCCGCCAAGTTCCGGGCAGCCGTCTACAACGAACTCAACGGATACTTCTCGACCAGAGACAGAAACTGAGGACGATGGAGACGTTGAGATGGATGACAGCATGCGCGACAGCGGTGCAATTTCTGGAGCTTCAACTCCTGAGCGTCGAGGTCGTTCTCCAGATGCCGCTGGTGCAGCAACGATACGAACGACGACGATACATCCGCGACGGGCTGTCGGGATCGTGTCAGATACGCCGCCTGCAACGACTGCCAACCCTTCTATTGACATGAATACAGACGCTCATATCATCATCAACGATCAAGCTGTCGCTGTCGAGGGCGTTGGTGTTGAGGATGGCATAGTCTCATTGGACACCAATGATGATTTTGCGATGGGTGCACCCCCTGGCGCACCTGGTGCTATCGATGGTCCTCCTGTCGATACTCATGGCACGGCAGGAGAGCGCACGCCTCGTGCAGGAACTGTCAATCTCCCCGGAGCCATCACTATCCGTATACCACCGGTACCATCCACGACGACGATTCGCGTGACGGGACCGGACGGCGCACCTGTTGGCAATACTGGCACGGTGCGTCGTGCAAATGCACCTATGGCCGGCGGAACTGGGATTACAGCGCGACATCATCATCACCACCACCATCACCACCATCACCATGACATGGAGTCTGGCCCTTACAGAGATGAGGATGTCCTGCTTAGCTTGCAGCTATTGGCGTATCTCAGCAAGTATCCTCACGTGCGACAAGCGTTCTACAAACCTCGGCCGTGCTTCCATCCTGCAAGTGCCCATCAGTCACCTTCTGACATTCGATATGGCGGCCCCAGCAGCAGCCGCTCTGGCTATTCGAGCGGTTTAGCAACCTCTCAGGCCGCTTCTGCCAAAGAGTCTAACCCATTCATGCGAGCGTTCAACACTGCCACTGGCCGGGGCAAAGAGAAGGAGAAGGCCCCTGCAGTTGCTCCCGAAATGTCTTCTAGTTCAAGCACATCTACTGTGAATGGCGCTTCCATCAACCCTCCACGGATGACGAATGTTTTTTCGCTTGTGGAACGATTCACCTTCCGACCTAGTTCGTCAGAATTAGACTCACCAAACCCCCCTCCAACTTTGCCGCCGGATATTCAGTATTGGGCTGGCGTGATCATGCGAAATGCGTGTCGGAAAGACGACAGCAGAGGCGGGATTAGACAATGCGCCAACAGTAAGTCTAGCATTCGTCTCATCATCAATGTATCCAAAATAATTGTTATCGATCTAGTGATGTGCGGAAAATGGGAAAGTTTTCCTCGTGAATTTGCTAAATGTCGACGCTGCCGCAAGGCCAAATACTGCGGGAAGGAATGTCAAAGTACCGCTTGGAGTGAAGGTCACAGATTTTGGTGCAGTGCCAAAGATCCTGAGGAAGATACCGACCAGCATACCCAAGCAGAAGGCACCCATGCTCGAGCAAACACCGTCAACAATGGCGCTGACACGAATGGAGCGACGACGATTTCAAATGTTACAGTTACAAACGGAGGTACGATAACTGGGCGGGCAGAACGAAGAGCCGAGCGTGAGCGGGACCGACAGGCACGTGCGCGCGAACAAACTCGCGAGGGTGTTAACACACAAAGGCCGGCTGCTGCTGCACCTTCACCCAACCGCCCTAATCGGATAGTCGAAGTTCCTCTCCCGGCTGATGTACGATCTCCAACAGATGCCGTTACACCGCAGGATCCCTCTCGATGGGCTGCCTATCTCAACACCCGTCGTGCGCGCGGGTGGGGGGATGAGACAGTTACACCTCAACCTCAGCCTAGGGCCGTAATTGAGATGATAAGTCCACGACGGCGTGTGGAAGATGCTGCAGTTTCTGCTCTGGACGGCGAAGCTGACCCTGAAGTTCGAAGACATCTTCTCCACCTCATTTCGCATCAGCGGAACGTCCCAGACACACCCATAGATGCAGGGCCCTCGAGGACTCAACAGAGAGACGGCGATGATGATATGGTCATCGAATGATTACCAGTAGATAACCTTTCCGTGCTCAAGCAAAGCCTCCCTTTCACTATCGTCGTTACCACATATACCATCCACCCAGTGGATCCGCATACATTCATTCATTGGCAACATATACACATACCACTGCACAGGCCTCATTCCATCTTCTTTTTCATGGCGTCTTCTCGTTATCGTCTCGAACATTGCTTGTCGGTCTCTCTTGGTCTTCTTCCCCTTGTCTATCGCACTATCTTTTCACGTCAACAATGTAACTAATGCATGTACATATTCACACACTCCCTATTGCTATTTGTCTCTAGGCATCTATTTCATCACTTCACATCAGACGCATGCTCATCAAACGTTCATGCTTTACATAGCTTGCTTCAGCCTGGGGCTCGGTAGGTTCTCCAAGAGAATTCAAGTAGCCGCGGGCGCCGACGGATCCTGGCCTCATGTGGCTACGGTACTGATCTTCGTGAAGTTGGGAGGTGGACTGTGTTGGGAAATAGAGTTTAGTGTCTATTCCTGTGCCGAATCGGCGCACGGAGTACCGTCAAACGTTGGTAATGGTGACTTTAGCATACTAGTCTTGTCCAAGTCTTGTCCATCATGTAAGTGTAGAAACACAGCCCACGGCCAACTTAGACGTTGCAGACTGCGGAGGTGGCGTCCTTGGAGTAAATCACCACAGGGTAATCAATGACTACATTACCGATGCTATTCTACCGTTCGATGGCTCTATGCTATATGGGGCCAATGAGACTCCGGCTAGGCATCCATTTTGCAGCGTTGTCCCGACCGCTCGAAACGATATGCGCCCAATTTCGAAGAGCGGACTGAACGTCAATGCATTTATTCAAACGTCCATATCGGCATCGTCGGATACATAGGACAATGTTAGTCGGAGGCAGACATGGTTTCAAGAGTCGCGTAGGACTCCACTGGCACGGAGTTCATGGGGGACATCAAATTAGACACAGCCAGTGTATTGATCCCGTTCAAGTTCATAGGCACATTTATGGCGGAATACGTATTATTTGGGAGGGCGGGTTCATCGAAATCTTCGTCTGTGTGGGTGGCGTCGTGAAGTGTTGCTGGATCCTTCACGAATCCGGCCGGCTGTGGCAGGAACGGAATGCCCTTTATGGTATCTTGTAGTTGAGGGCCGATCATGCATCACAATGCATTTTGATGCCACCACGAAGTCCGCTTGCCGACATTCACTTTCTTGCTCAATTTCTATTGTCATCTTCATTGCGCAGGACAGGGAACACCAAAGACATAGCAGATGCATGTATGCCGTCTCACGAAAGGTTCTTCACCCTGAGTCTATGCGCTGCAGATTGCAGCTTCATCCGGATATGGCCACAGTATTGCTTGAACAAAGCTGTTCTCCTCATTGTTTCAGGCACCGAACTCCCGGCCTACAATTACTCACGTTCACACAGAAAAGCAGGCCGTAGCGATTGGCGAACGGAAAACGTCACGAAAGTCTATCATGATCCCATTATCCATTCTACCTCGCATGGCAACGAATAGCAATCAACACTGATTCTCCGTATTGAGGCCAAGCTAGGTTTGGTTGATGCACGTCTTTGTAGTGAGCGATTTGACGGCGCGTTACCCAAAGAGAGATCATGAACGTTGGTCCTATTCTCGTCCAATCATAGCGTCCAAACTGACAAAAACTATACTATGTAGATAATGTCGCTACGGAAGTGTCAGTGTTTAATATGATGACATGACAAGTACTTTGATGATCTCAACCTCATATTTTTCATGAGAACCCGCTACCCGGTTCGAAGCCTTGCCCTACGCTTGTGCATAACTCAGGGCCAAACGGCAGCGAACCCTCCTGAGAGCTGCTACGCGCCCATGCAAACCGATTGAGCGGCTGTTCATCCTTTGCAGATTTCACTGATGTGCGGAAATATGTTCCCGAGATTTTTCGGAGAACATCCAAAGAGAGGGTCTGACAAGCTGTACAACGACTGCCTCGGCTAACGCCACTACTGCCTACATAAAGCTCGAATTTGCTATGGCATTCTCAACCCACTCCTCCTCTTTCTATTTCATTTCCCTTGACGTTCTCCTTGCAGACTCTTTGGCTGCCAATTCATCTTTCTCTTCCGATTCCAGTTGTAACTGATTAAAATGACACCTCCTCAAAGTCGAAAAGTTGTTGTCATTGGAGCAGGTCCAGTAGGATGCCTGACCGCTATCGCATTGGCGAAGCAGGGTTGGAATGTCGAAGTATACGAAGGGCGTCCAGGTATGTTTCTTAACTTAACTTTTCGCGCAATCATTGACTTTATGTTCTCAGATATGCGTCTCCCATCGTCTAAGCTTGAGGCAGCTGCATCCCTACGGTCCATTAATCTTACGATCTCTCCACGTGGAATCACGGCCATCCAGGCTATTGACCCCAATGCAGCCGAGCGTTTCCTTCGTGCCACCGTACCTATGCATAGCAGAATGGTTCATGACACCAAGGGCAGGATGACTCCACAACGCTACGATCGCAGTGGACAGGTGAGCTTCTATGCGGATTTGTGCCTGATCACGCATTTCATAACTTTACGTTCACGCTGCCATATGTAGACAATCAACTCCATTGATCGTGCATTGCTAAACGAAGGTCTCCTCGAGGATGCCCTTTCGATTCCTAATATCCAGGTTTTCTTCTGTCACAAAGTTTCATCTATCGATTTTGATGCCCGTGTATTGAACGTGCGCGACGTTAATGGGAAGAAAGACGTGTTCGTCCCATTCGATTTCTGTGTTGGCGCCGATGGTAGCTACTCCACTGTCCGCCGACAGTTGATGAGACATGTTCGGTAAGTCTGATTGGGTTCGCCTAATGAGACGGGGATTTACCACAATTTGGCTATAGAATGGACTTCCAACAGGAGTACATTCCACATGAGTACCTCGAGCTCCGAGCTCCATCAGGGCCGCCCAAGGAAGCCGGCGGAGAACCTACGTTCTTAATGGACCCCAACCATCTTCACATCTGGCCGCGCGGATCTTTCATGCTCATCGCTCTACCCAACCAAGTAAATCTTGCATTACTCAGAAGCAGAACGTCTATTCTAATGCTTTCTCTTTTCCAAGGATAAAACGTTCACGCTCACGTTGTTCTCGCCTACGGAGGAGTTTGATCGGCTTAAGTCCCCTGAAGTCATTTTGTCATGGTTCAAGACGCAATTCCCTGACGCCTTGAGCATCATCGGCGAGGACTCTCTGCTGAACAGCTTCAGGCGCAACCCCCGAAGTCCATTGATTACCATCAAGGTATTGATAGAATCTCTTCGACGCCCCGCATTTACTCAGTAGACTGTCCTATTATAGGCGAAACCCTATCACTACAAGGACCGCGTGATCATTCTGGGTGATGCAGCTCATGCAATGGTTCCGTTCTATGGTCAGGGCCTAAATTGTGGTCTTCAAGACGTGCACGTGCTGGCTCATCTTCTGCGTACCCACAACGTGGATCCGTCTTATCGCCCTGTGGAGGGAGCGGAAGATATTCAGCTCGCGAAGGCGTTGCAGGTGTATTCCGAGACGAGGCATGACGACCTGATCTCCATTGGAGAATTCGCGATGAACAACTAGTACGTATAATAATTCTGTTCATCCGACTTGCTCTGATGGTACCTTTTGATAGCATTGAGATGCGGGAAACACTCACGAAGCCTACCTTTTACTTGCGGAAAGCCCTTGACAACGTCTTGTATGCCTTGACTGCTAGGCAAGTTATCCCAACGATCAACAACCCCGGTTCAGTTCCCGATCCCTTCCCTACCGCGCAACCTTCCGGGTGGCTGCCGCTGTACACGATGGTCACGTTCAGGCCCGATATCAGTTACGGTACAGTCAAACGTAAGGCACAAAGACAGAGAGAAATCTTGTCATATGCTGGTTGGCTTGGTGCCGTATCCCTCACTGTCGGTACTGTTGGCTTCAGCTATCTCTCCCTTTGGCATCGTTTCCGCAAGTAGATCAACAAGCCTTCTGATTTTAACCTCGAATTCTGCTTTCTTGCTTCGTATTTAATTAGTATATAGTCTTTCCGATTCCTCAGCGTGATTCGCGTCTGTTGTAGAATATTTCATTGCTTTGCTGTTTACGTATTGTTGTCTTAATTGACGGGGTTCGTGTGGTAACCTTATGCGCCGTACATACTAAATGCATGACTATCTGAATTGATTTTCTTCATCCAAGGAACCTAACCTCAATATGATCGCTAGTAAGCGGGATTGTGCAATATGTTTGTGCGATTGCATCTTGTACAACTTCCTAATTTGGTTCCTCACCGTGATCGGGCTCGTTCCAGATGAACTTGAGGTATGAAAACCGAGCTAGGTACTTTTCAAAGACTTTCTGCTGTCCCCGGTTGGGATGACTTTCCACTAATCTCGTAAGCTTGGAGACTCTTTCCGATTCAAAATTGACGACTTACGTCTTCCGATGCATTTCGAAATTTCTCTATTTGCAACGGAAGGCCAATGTCCGCTGTGATCGACACTAATAGGAATCTATTCCTCTCCTTTAGCATCAGAGACACCATACGTGTGCATTCCAGTGACCTGATAGGTTGCACCAATGGCCGACACTGGCCTACCGCTCGCATACTTTCCAAAAGTGATGAAGTTTGTTGCCGAGCTTCTAGCTGCCGGAACTTGCGTCGCTCAGCCTGCGGCTGGGCTCGACCCTCCACATGGCGCGGTGTTCCGATCTTTCAATTAGTGGAGGATTAAGTTCTTCGAGGATGAGTCAAGATGCTGCGCAAATAATTGCATGCAAAGCCTCGTCCGATCATGGGCGTAGACTGCTAATACTGTACATTTTCGAACGGTTCACCAATGCTTGTGACCTGTGACCTCACCTGGCGAAATGTTGAATTCGTCAGGTCACCAGGGAAGGTGTGACTCTAAAGAAAAAATCATCTGATATTTAACCTACCTTTCAGCAGCTGGTTCTGAATGTCAACCACACCCTATAGCAGGTCAGCAAGAGAAAGTATGAGGCGAAGAATGTCACCGTAAAGGCGCGAGCCATTGGGCGCCTAATATTGTCCTCCAAAAGCGTTCATTTTCATGGAAGGTGACCTGTGACATGTGCCAAATTTCGCCACGCCCAATGCCCCTGTGACGCGTGACCGGCGAACCGTTCGAAAATGTACAGTAGGATAGGGACGTGCCACTTACAATGTTTGCGGGTTCCTACTCCCTGATCCTGTTGTTGTTGTCATCCCAGGCTATGTTTCCAGCCAACAGCGAATCCTGCGTCTTCCCTCTCTTCATTGATCTGATCTGATGCATTATGTGATTAAAGATATGTTGATGAGCGTGCCTTTTTATTGGCATAAATCGACTATCATTACTTGGCTGTGAACCGTGGTGCTCAGTGAACGTAAATATCAAGGACCGAAAGGCAATCTGACTTGACTGCTTGGGTTGCACTGTTGTGGGCTTGAATGGGCTTGGAATGCTTCAAGCGTCGCGCCCATGTCGCCGTGGCGGGTCACAATTTCGTATTTACCCCACCTTCCCTTTTAGTTTCTAAGATTGGATGTGAGATCTTCTTTCCTCCCGACCCGGATCAGTGGTAGTAACGCAGCCTTATTTTCTATGTAGCATCTTGATGAAGGTAATGAGCAAATCCCACGAGCGGTTATGCTGTTAGCATCGGAGTTTTGGTAGACCTCCCACCCGGAAGCTCTGGGCATTCGAAGTAGACAGAGGTCTCTCTATTCCCTGCACTTCTCCCCGTCCAATCTGCACGTGCGCTGCGGGTACATCCAGTCTACACAGTACCCTTTGCAATGTCAACGTCTACGACTCACAACCAAACCCATGATGGCAACCTGAACGATTCAGAAGAGAAGCATACCTCCACAAAATCACCTGTCGATCAAGATCGACGTCAAAATGTTCAAATTTCGATGGAAACCAGTTCTTCGAGAGATTCAAGTCCTCAACCCAAACAAAGTCTCATCAAAGTTACAGGTCTCATACTAACATGTACGGCGGCAATGGTTCTGAATGTCGGTCTTTTCTGAATTCTTGATAAATTCATGCTCTTAATGATGAATATGACTGATATTGGCAGACTGCAAATGCGACTGCTATATCGATAGCACTACCTACGATTGGCCGCGACCTAGGCATTGTGGAGTACAAGCTGCAATGGCTAGTTTCCGCGTACTCTCTAAGTTCTGTAGGTCTTGGTCACGGAAGATGTTCGCGAGCTCTGCTATGAATGCCACTAATCAGGTTGATATATGTAGGGATGCCTTCTGCTGTTTCTTGGGCGTGTGGCCGATCTGTATGGACGAAAACGGCTATTCTTGCTTGGTATTTTAGTCCAAGGTGCTTTTGGTCTTGGATGCGCGTTCGCTAAAGGTATGAATCTGTGCTTTCCCTTCGAGATGTAAATTAACGTCTCTATCCTTTCCAGACGAGATCACTATTGACGTCTTACGAGGTCTACAAGGTATCGGAGGTGCTGCTATTATTCCAGCTGCTGTAAGCCCATATCCGGATCCATACAATCGTTGTCATTGACTACGACTCGGACTCCCTTATTTATGCGCAGTTGGGTATATTAGCCCATGCATTCCCTCCTTCTCGACTCCGTGCCATCGCATTCTCGACTTTCGGAGCCGGAGCGCCCATCGGGGCATCCATAGGTAACCTCATTGGCGGTGTTCTGACTGAGTTGACCTCGTAAGTCTTAGATATTTCTGGCTTTTATCTTGCTCTCGAATGTTTGTCGTTATGTCATAGCCAATCATGGAGGTCTACACTCTATATGATGACCGGTCTGAGCGCTCTTGCTTTCATCGGTGGATTGTTCACCATTGACTCGGATGTCCTTGACATGAATCAGGACAGGTCTGTACACTTCATGTCCTATTTAGTTCAGATCGACTGATTCACCTTCTGAGAGTAGACGTATTGACTGGCTTGGCGCTTTGCTCGTCACTTCTGGCTTGGTTCTCATTCTTTTCGTACTCGCTGAAGGGAGCATTGCTCCACAAGGATGGAGGACAGGGTGTACGTCGTTGTCCTTAAGTCAGCCTCCTGACTGTGCACTCACTAACAACGATTTGTAGACATCATTGCGCTCTTGATTGTGGGTGTCTTCCTTGTAGGTGTTTTCATATACTGGCAGTATTACCTCGAACGCGTCCGATCTCGATCCGACACCCCTGCCAGTTCGAGATGGACACCGCCGCCATTGATGAAACTTTCTGTCTGGGGGTTGGCTAAGGGTCGGATAGCAGTCATGTTCTGGATCGGATTCCTTGAATGGTTTAGCTTCAACTCCTTCTCATTTTGGCTTCAGGTGACCGCCATCTCTTCGATACGCTTTCTTTCCTATGGAACTCATGAAAGTTGTTTGATGTTCATAGCTTTACTACCAAGATTTCCTTGGTCTCTCACCAATCCTTACAATGATCCGAATTCTACCCATGTTTGTCTCCGGAATAATATGCAATGGGATCGTCGCTTTAGTTGTAGGTCATGTAGACCTGATGATTCTCATCGGTACGCACTTTCCCCTGGTCTCTATGCGTATATATTTCAGAGCTCATGATGGCCTCCATCATAGTGGTGGGAATGGCCCTGACTGCTGTCGCCAATCTTTTGTTTGCCGTTATCGACGTTAACGCAGTGTATTGGGCTTTCGGTTTCCCTGCTGCCATCGTCGTTGTATTTGGCGCAGATTTCGTAATGGCGGCCGGTTCACTCTTCGTGGCAAAATTCAGTCCTCCCGAAGATCAGAGTGTCAGTGGCGCGCTGCTCCAAACCATGATGCAGGTATGTTGCTTTTTTGTGGATCAACTTATGCCCCTTGCTTATGTGCTATTCTCAGCTCGGAGGAGCATTTGGTCTTGCTATTACCACGATTATCTTTAATGAGACCCTTACGAAACAATCGGACGGGCTTGGGGTTACCGTCAATCGGTCAGGAACAAATGCCCCACGTACTGCACAAGAATTGGCATACAGGGCGGCCATGTGGGGAGGCTTTGCGTTCGGCGCATTTGGGGCACTTCTGGCTGTGTTCTTCCTACGAGGTGTTGGTGTGGTGGGTCATCAAGAGTCACCCTCCGAAACAAGCTCGTCAGATGAGACCCAGATTGAGTCGTCGACTCAAGAGAAGTCTTGATCGTTTGGAGTAGAACACACACAGATCGGACACATTTGCATTTTCTACACTATAGGATGGATCTTTGATCAAGGCCTTCCCACTCACTAACTGGATGGATAGACTTCACACATGTAATTACTTCGGATTTTGAAGACACGGAAATCATGCATTACCTCACGTCATATAGAAATACTCTCTATATGTAATGTCTTTCGATCACTGCCTCGGTACTCTATTGCCACGAGTCGAGAAATCTAGACATAAGGTTGAGACCACGTCCCAGTTTGGTATGCGCGTTGCCTTTTTTGTCAATAATTACTTCGTCCCCAATGACATCATGATCCCCAACCAGACGCACATCCTGCGATTGCCATAAAGCCTCGCTTGATATTGTGAATTCACCAACGCTATCCTCCCTTTCTCCACAAACCCAGTTTCACACCTAAACAATTATGAGTGATGAATACGCAAGCACCGGATACAAAGGCTCTCTCGTCAACCAATGTAAGTAGTAATAGGAGACTCGATCGCTTTTGCAGTGCTGAAGCGGAAGTAATCTTGTCGACACAGCTGTAAACCCCCGAAGTGATAACATAGATTTTGAAACTAAGAACTATCCTTCTGAACACGACAGTACGTGGCCCAGATCGCATGCATACCCTTTTTAACCTAATAGCTCCTCAGGTACCTCTGAGGGAGGCTACGGCTCTCCCACCAATTCGTGGTCTCCCCGAGCTCAACGGGGACATCCGGGATCTTCGGATGACAACTCCAGCGGCCTTTTGAGTCAGTCGGTGATGCAGGATGCTAAGCAGGGTCGGGATGAATCTTCTAGGCGACAATTTGGGCACGAAGCTCAAAGAGACTTTGCTGCAAAGGATGTCCATGCTGGTTTTGATCCGTACGGAAGGAATCCTGACAGTAAAGAAGAGGTCAGTCAGATGTTGGCATCGAGCTACAGAGAGAGAAGAGAGCAGAAGTACGAGAGCAGTTCCGCCGGCCGCGAGGAGGAAGAATTCAAAGAAGAATGAGTGGACGTTGTTCGGTTTATGAGATACTAGTCATGGGCAAATGCCTTTCTACCAGCGAAGTCGAAACCATCGGAAGTATTTATACCTCGTCTACATGGTCAATTGAACTATTTCACTCGCTCATATCAGGTGCTGACATCCAGGATCGAGCAATACTGTGAAATGTAACTCCGTCTTGTCTCTAGCTCTCTAGCCTGGAGAGACACTGTCGACATTGGGTAGTTTCAACCTCAATGCGAACAAAAGACCACGATCATCACAGTCGAATGGGCCTTCTGACAGTGGAAAACCGCGATTCGCCTTTTTCTTTTTGGGACCATCCCGAGTGACTCGGAGTGAACGTGCGGTAACACCGCGGTTGCGAATCAGAGTCTGCACTACTGCTAGCGGGATTATTGGGCCCCCTTTTACGTTTGTTAAAAGAGACGCATTTTGATCGTGGCTGGTACTAGTTGGTGTGCCCAGTGGTGCAGTAGTGGAAGCAGAGGCCCCTCGAGAACGCTGGAAGTACTATCACGGGAGACGCGGAACGAGCAGAACCATCGAGTAATTAACGTTCAAATCGAAATCTACTCTCCTGAGTACGCCTTTCAATTGTGGTCCAATTGTCCGAAATAGAGTATTTCATAAGACGTACGATGTACACCTTACGCTGAGTTCGACGGGGCGGAGTTTGATCTTCAATACTTTGCTTATCCGGTAAAAGGATTCATTCGTCGTGGATAGGGGACAGATTCAACAAATCATCGGAGAGCTTGTGGATAAACCTGGATCGGGCTTCGGAAACTTTGTTGATAAATACGTGCAGCTTGTGCCCCTGCAACGTTCTTACTGGGTATATGTTGGCTAAAGGTCAAACTCTTTGTGCCCCTGCTCTGCATGTCCAGATAGAGTAATTCAAGATCGAACTTAGTAGAGACGCCGGGGGCGCTTCAAGTTCCAAATGTCAAGTGAGCCTCCTTCCCTCTGGCGTGCATGGTGTACGGTTCTCAGCTTCATGAAAAATGTCCCTCGGCTTCATGCCGGACATATGTGCTATCTTTAACAACATGACATTGCAATAGTCTACGCTCACCCAGACTGGCCTGAGTTGATAAGTTGAATCCACGGTGGCTCGAGGCGGTCCGATAACATGATCTGGATCTGCATTCCCATCCTTATCAGAGAGCTACTGTGGGTAGAATCTCTCTCTGTTCTCACCTTTACTGTGATTACTTGCTATCGAAGCTCTTCAGCTGCTTGCGTTGCCCATATCCCGTCTTAACCCCTCGATTTCTTGATCCAAATGTCTACTGAAGCTCAGGCCGGTCATCTCGCTCATGCTCGGTACGGTAAAGACAAAGTACGAGTCTTGCGCGTCGTTCGTGAAGGAAAATGGCAACACGTTGTCGAGTACAATGTTTGTGCTTTGATGGAGGGTGATATAGAGACCAGGTGTGTGAGCAGATCGAAACCATCGCAGGGTCTGCTGCTTATGATGCTCATGATCTGCAGTTACACCAAAGCGGACAATTCCGTAGTTGTAGCTACGGATTCCGGTGAGTTACCATGATTCACCGTGTTGGAAGCTACATCTAATATTGCTTCACTTTACAGTCAAGAACATCACTTATTGTGAGCCTCCTATGCTTCATCTCAATGCCAAAGCCACATTTTGACCCATTCCGAGAACAGACTTGGCGAAGACTTCACCCCATATTCTTCACCCTGAACGTTTTGCCCTCCACTTGGGCACATTCCTTGTATCCAAATACGCCCACATCCACAAGGCATTTGTCACGGTTGAGAAACTTCGATGGCAGAGGATTCAGGTGGATGAGAAGCCTCACCCGCATTCGTTTGTCAGGGATGGAGAAGATAAACGGGTAGTAAGCGTTGAAGTGAGTGCTATGTCGCGTTGAATAATTCGTGCGACAAAAACCCCATTAACAAACGCCGTCAGATCGATGGAACGCAAGGAAAAGGCAAGTTGACGGCGAAAGTCACGTCTGGTATCACAGATCTCCTCGGTAGGTCGTCATCTCCCTTAGAGTAACTGTCATCCATGCTGAGCATTACACGTAGTACTGAAGTCAAGCGGATCCGCGTTTGAATCCTTCGTCCGAGATGAGTTCACGACTCTCGTAGATGTCAATGATCGAATCTTCAGCACCTCGATTGATCTCAAGTATGTCTTTGACCCAATTCCGGTCAGCTTGTCGCTCTTCGATGCACCTCTTCCTGGAACACCTGGTGGACCGAACGCCGTCTTCGCCGCAGGTATGTCACCTACTTTAGACAACTTTGATGCAACGGAATTCAAGCTGTTCGAACAGGCAAGGATGCTCAGCTAAGCGAGGAGTCTATCAAGACAGTGAAAACGCAAGGTACAGCTTGGGATGGCGACACCGTCGCTGACGATGCAAGGAAAGTCACTTTGGATGTCTTTGCAACGGACGATAGTGCCAGTGTCCAGGTATGTGTGCTGATGGTCGCCGTGAGCTTCTGTACCATTTACGTGATTCCCACATCACATAGGCAACCTTGTATAAGATGGCACAACAGATCCTCACCTCTCACAAGCACTTGCAAAGCGTGTCCTATAGTCTTCCCAACAAGCACTACGTACCTGTGGATATGCGCTATGCAGGCGTTGAGAATCTCAATCCGTACGTACACCATTCCGTATTCCTTTGTATTCTTTTCTCCCTTCGTTTCTTGTGTCCTTTCTTTAGCTTGTCCTATTCTCGTCTTCCGCAGCCCTCATCCATGTTGCGATTGTGTTCTGCTCTACGTCACAAGCACTGGCACTGTCCGGCGTATTACACCCTACACGCGTTGCCCAAAAGCCTTTTGATACGCGTTCAGAGTTCAAGTAGCCAATCCTCCGGCTGCTCTCACGTTGCGCAGTCAGAGTGGCTGCTTCCTTTCCTTTCCTTGCTGTGTCCCTTCATCCGAGTGTCCCCTGTTTTTCTTTCTCTTCCTTCTCTTTGTCAATCTCGCCTTCTGTTGACGTCGGTATTTTCCAATTTTTTTGGAGCTTCCGAGTTCTTTCATTCAACTCTCGTCCAATCGGAGTGTTTGGAAGTCCGGAAGTTGAGAAGATGTGCAACCGACAGACAGAAGAAGGGGAGAGGCTGAAGATCTGGGGACATCCGATGACAATTGACGTCGTTTCACCGCCCTCTGCACTGCACTTTTTATCCGCTGTCGATTTGCTTCACTTGTCGCTCGATTTCACACGCCCTCTTCTTTGCTTTATTGACAACTTCTTTTCTTTCTCGTCCTTTTGCTTTGCCTTCCGTCCATGTCCATGTGGCAGTCAAGTGCAGCATGTCGACGGGCCGGGTCGAACCACATGAACAAGGCAGAAACGCCTACCACAGTCATAGTCGACGTTTCTGCCACTAACCGCTCAATTTCATATCTCTCCATTCTGTCTCTTAAACTCAAGCTTTCAAGCTTCATATCGGGAAACGCACGTCATCATTTCGCTCATTTTGCGGTGGTGCGATGCGAGGGGATGGGACATACAGGTGGACATGGTTCAGTTCACTCAAACTGCCATGCAAGCTTTCATACGAAGCTGTGTCTTCTTACTTCTATCTATATCTGGCTGCTGGTGCCCTTGTACCGTTTTTGCCCTCATATCCTTCTACCCTTATACCCTTATCTCGGTGTCTTTTCAAAGACAGAGATATGCCAGATATCAGATAGAGGAATAGAGGAAGCAAGCAGAGAGAGAGATTTGCAAATCTCATTTCTCATTTGTCTTTTCGGTTCTTTGCTTGATGTCTTCCCTGGTTTGCGCGTGCTATCGAGGGACCTTTGTTTGGTTTTCACTCGCACTCTCGAGCAGAGTATACCTCGGTTTCGGAGCCGAGCGATGGTGGGCTGAGATGGTTGTTTGCATCTGCGATGCGTTTGGCAGTACATCGAATGTCCCGAGGAAAGGTCATACGATGATGTTGACGATGAGACCCCGAGGTGGTTTTTGATCGTTAGCCAGCGTCCCGACGCATCGAGTATCGAGTCTTAGCTTGAGGCTGGAGGTTCGGAGTGAAGAGAGGAACTTCGAATTATTCCGGTCGTTAGGGTTCCTTGTGGACTTGAATCCGTGACAAGTTCGCGTTGTAACGACAGATGTGTTGGCTTTTACGTTCTTTCTCTGCATGTTGGGAACCGTCAGTTGCAATCCGCTGATCAGACGGTTCTCAATAATGCGCACTTGTGTTCTTCTTATCCCTTCACTTTCTTCCCCATACATTTAGCATTCAACATTTGGGGTTAATCACGGGTGCAATAAGACATTGCAACTGGATCAGATGTGGACTTGAGTATGTATAGTGTATCTCGGGTGTTCGGATACACTGTACTCATATCTCATCTGACCAGTACTTGGCATGATTTCACATGCTGTCACGTTGTCGCTGGCATGCTATCCTCGTTATGGCACTATCATTCTCTTACGCTCTTGTCATCATCATACCACCACTCACAACCTGTGGCAACTTGACACAAGAAGGGCTGCTGCTGTGTTGGGCTTACTGTCATATGCGCAGGCAAATCATACGCGTGACAGCGGTTCCGGTGAAGGTTATGTTGTTTCTGCTTCTGCATCCGAGAAGCACGAGAACGAGGATGCGAGAGCTCAAATATAACCGTCATCTGCCACGGGGTCATGCATTCGATGCATCTTCGAGGGTGCATTGATTGAGCGATGTTTCCCGTCAGAGTGGGAATGCTGCGGAGCGAAAGGGGGTGTTGCTATGGCAAGATATGGCAGAATGGAGGGTTCATCTTGTATGGGCGGTTTTAGTGTGTGCGTTCGAGGCTATCCGCTTCTATTGTCGTTCACACATATTTCAAGTCCACGTTAACTTTCTTTATTCTCCGCGTTTTTGATTATGTGTTTTATTTTTTCGATTCGCCCTCCTCGCTGTCTCCGCGTTGCTGATCTTAGCTTTGCAGCGCACAAGCCGAGGTATTCGTTCCATTGGCCGCCCCGAGGTGAGTCTTTCGGTCATTCATCTGGAGGAGCGCTTGAGCTTCGGATGAAAGTGATCTGAGATTGGCTACTGATGACGTATGGTGTGTTTACCTTTTTTAGCGGCCTGATCTCCGCCACGATCGCGCGGTAGTGACGTCATAAGAAGCACCGGAGCTCCACTTTCGAGCGCGCGCAGGATCTCACCGGACAATGATTACCTTTGAGCCTTTTTGTTTTCTTTTTTGTAATGGGGAGAGTTGGATTGGGGCGAAAGAGACACTTGCGGGGCGTAGGGGATAACCAGAAGCTTGTATGTACGTCTACCAGTGCTATGGAATGTCAAGAAATGTAACGCGATTAGCTGGAATGAAAGCGAGAAAGGTTGCGGAGTGACGTAGGGTGTTTGTGACTGATGGAAGAGAGGCAATGGGTTACCGGAAACGGTGGTTGCCATGAATGGGTCAATTAGCAGGCTCCACATGCAGACGCTCCAAACTGTTCTTTCCACTACACTCACCTCGCATCGAGCACTCATACCATATAGCCACTCCTCCGCTCCTCACCCATCCAGCCAGCTCCAGCCATGGCGGGCGATCACAAAGTGCGCCGCTCTAACCATTCCGCCATCCCCGAACACCGCTGACTTTTCTCTCCAGTGTCCAGTCTGCAATTCCACCTTTACAAGACCGCAACATGTGGCTAGACACATGCGATCCCGTTAGTCCTTTCCACCCAGTAGCCTAACACTCTGATCCGGCTACTAGCTTTTCACGGAACTGTGTACTCAACCACCTTCTGCACGCAGATACCGGGGACCGACCGTACAAATGTCAGCATTGCGGAGACCAGTTTGCTCGAAGGTGCGTTTCAGTCCACGTACCCACCAGTAGCATTCTCTCATGTCTTCCACTCTCCTCCAGCGACCTACTCTCGCGTCATGTAAACAAATGTCATGCATCGGAGAAACCACCTACCACTACCGCACCTAACAATCGGCGCAAAGGGCCTACTGCTGCTTCCAGAGCGACCACCAGTAAACAGGCCTGTGACCAATGCGTCCAGGGCAGTCTACCCTGTGATGGATGCAATCCATGTTGTGAGTGCTTCTTTCTCTTGTGAATCATGATGCCTGTGCAGAGCACTTTGGATGTGAACGGCGACTTCTCTTGAGTCGAGTTCTTCGGTCTCGGGTCTATCGGTACGACTCGATCATTTTGCTGCCACGATATGCGGTCTCGACAAGGCCTTTTCTACTAGACGTCGGTACGATCGACCCAGGCTTGAAGTTGCAAACTCTCAAACGTTAGCCAATAAGGACTCGGGTTCACACCATGTTACGAATGACGCATATACCCATCTTTTTCGCTTTTAGAGTGCTCTGATTAGTTTCTCGCACTAATTTACGTACATAACGCTAACCGCCTTTCTACCTCCAGCAAAATGCGTGCAACGGAAATATCGCTGTACCTATGTCAAATTCCATCGTCAAACCGCTCCCCAAGGGCCAGGCCATCCTCCCCCCTCAGCTCTTCCACCACATCACCCACATGCTCACCACCATGCTAATGCTAATGCTCGAAACCCTTCGCTCCCTTCAGGTCTTGGATCTACTTCACTACTAGGAGGCGTACGTCCAGATGACTTTCTTCTCGCCCCTCCACCGGGCGCTGCTCTCTCAGACCTCTCAGGGATGAGTATGAATGGTATAAATGTGAACGGTATGAGTCTTTATCCAGGAAGTCTTGCGGGTATGGGATTGTCTAGCGGGATGGAATACCCAGGTTATCCGGGATACGCTCCTTCACATGCCACTGATCAACGGCAAAGTCCCACCCCAAGTTTGTCGTTATCAGCATCTACCTCTACTCGCGATTCGTCATTGGACGGATCCCCTGATATGCTCGCCGCGAGGTATCGCGCTGAGCAGATGCTTCGTTCTGGTCAAGTTAGCCTTCCTGGAATCAGCTCCATTGCTGGTGCGGGCGCTGGTAGTGCGTACCCCGCCGGTAATACGACGTATCCACCGCCATCAACTACGGCTGGTGGGCTGACAGGGTTATATGATTCGAATCCCGGCGGAGCTTGGCCAAGTCAATCGCAACAGCAGCCGTTTCAGGCTACAGACGCTACCCACAAGGATTATACTGCCGGGGGTAGATTATCGTTTCCGGCCAACCCTTCCACGCACCAGTCGTTAAATGGATCAAATGGTCATGCCGGGGGATACACTGGGTACGCACCGCATAGTCAAAGCCAAGGGCCCGCTGGGGCCCAGTATTCCTTTCGAGACTCCCAACAGGACAGGCATTATACACGAGCGGGGAGCGAAGATTCTGTAAGTGGTCGACGCCCGTCGACTGCTCCTTCAGTGGATATGGGAGTAGATGAATACGGGAACGGAAGACCACATACCAGTCACGCGTATCCCGGATCGTCTTCACCTTCTCATCAACAATCTCAGGATGCCCGACGACAAGCGCAAGCTCAAGAGTACTTCGCGAACGCACGAAGGGGGTCCTTGCCCGTCGATGGGGAAGGCGGGTTCAGTAGTGCTTTTGGACTGATGTCATTGGACGACCCTGCTGTCTTGGCAGGCTTGCAGAGTGATGGGGCGCCTTTTTTTTCGAACGTACCGACCCAAGGACACTCGCAGCATACAAACCCTTCGGATATGAATGATGATCAAGGACGATCGCAGAGAAGCAGTTTTAGTTCAACGACGTCTTACACTGGGAGTGGGGTTACGAGTGGGATGGGAGGATTGAGTCAGAACAGTTCGCAGTCTTCTCTTTTGAGCGTCGAGGATGGAGTCTCTCATCATCTTCAACTAGATCGGCCACTTTCTCAACCTCACCAACATAACAACACCAACAACAACAATAACAATAATGGTAGCTTGCCATTCCCGAGTATGTCGACACCGCTTTCGAGTAAGGAGGAGCTGAAGGAGTTTTGGAGGCAGTACCTTAAGACGCCTCTGACGGGCCCGGGGACCGGTTCTGGTACTGGGATCACGCCGCTTTTTGGACCTCCTGGATCTGGGGGGTTGATCACGCCTACTGCCAGTGGAGATCATCTACAATTGGGTGCGGGAGGAAGTGGGAGTGGGGGTGGGAACAATGTGGGGGTTTTTGGGAGACCGCAGTTGAGCCCTACGAGACGACATTCGAGGGTGGCTAGTTTGCCGAGTTTGAAGACGCCGACGATTGCTATGAATGAGTGGTTGTCTAATCCGAATGGTGTTTTACCTGCTGCTTTGAATTCTTCGCAACAGGTACTACAGCAGCAACAGCACTCGCAATCACAACAGGCTCAACAACAATCGCAGCAGGCGGGTCAACAGCCTCAGCATATGCCCAATGGAGGGATCTTTGGGGGTATATTTGGAGGCGTCCCGCCTGCGTTTAATTTGACGTTGAGTCGGGATTCGATGAGGAAGGGAAAGTTACCTGATCCTCACGCGCCAACCCAAGTCTCAAAGCAGCAACAACAGAAACCCGTCTCTCAACAGACGCATATCGAACGTCACATCTCCCAGAACGACAATAACGCTCAAGACGATTTGGACTCGTACAAACAAGCCGTCATGGCTCGGCAGGCTCCTACTACTCTGCATCTCGTACCTAGGAAGAGGGGGAAGACGATACATGGGGGCGCTTTGATGGGTGGGACGGGGAGTAAGGATTTGGTGCAGGGAACTGATATGTCTGTGTCTCCTCCGAATCCACATCCGCCCCCGCTTCCTCCTGGTCCTCTTGGTGGATCTACGAATTTAGGTGTGGGCTCGAGCTTGGGAGGAGGGGATTCTGGACCTATGGTTAGACCTGGGAGCTCGAGTTCGTTGGCAGATGCATTACAGGAGGGTATTAGTACTGGTACGGGTGGGGGGAGGGATTCACCGACGCCTGGAGTTAATAAGCATCATGCGTTCCTCCAACCTCCGCCGCCTCCATTCCACCTTCAGCGACAATTGTCCTCCTCTCACTCTAACTATGCTCCTCATCCGCAACAGCAACAACAGCAACAACAGCAACAAGGACTCGAACACGATTATACCAATAGCGGTGCACCGCCATCGCATCCGAGTATCTCACCTTATAGACCGTCGTTCAAACGCCTCGCTTCACAGACTTTGGGACCGGAGAATCCGAAGAGGGCGTTGTTGGGTCCGGCGGGGTGGGATGATCATGATCATGATGATGGGGATGGGGATTTGGGGAGTGAGGAGGATGAGGGCAGTTTGCCAGGGAGTTTGCGGGGGGATAGTAGGGGTGTTAGTGAGGGTGCGGATGGAAGTGGTCAGAGGGAGGTTGAACTTGGTGGGTCTGGGTCTGCTATTGCGAGTGAGTCTACAAAAGGGAGAGTCCATGTTGTCGCTACTGGGGCGCAATAATTGTCGTCGATATGGTTCTGGGACGTTTGATATCTTTTTTCTTTCTTTTTTCTTTTTTTTCTTTTTCTTCTTGCGGTCATACCTAATTCTATTGTTCTATTCCCCTGCCCTTCCCCTTCCTCCATTCTCCATTCATACCGTAACTTAGTGGAGGAGACTTGGGGGCTAGGTCTTTTTTGGACTGGATATCCGGATTCGAATTTGCGAAAGGCTTTTCACGTACTGTACTACTTGTATCTTGGAACTTGTCTCTTTCAGACATTATAATAGTAATACTTCGAACAGCTTAAATGATCTTGTTTTGTGTGCGTTGTTCATGCTTGGCCAGAGTTTGTACCTTCTTGATAGGACGTCGAGTCCGAGTTTATCCTCATCGCCTTCAGGGCGAAGAGGGGAACTATCCTAAGCGATGGATCTGGTATTGTATGGAATGCACAGAGCGTGTGTAATAAGTACTAGTTTCTCTCTGATTATAGTGGTGAAATCTATACGTACTTAGCGTTCATGTAGACTTGGATGAGTAAATTCATACTGTTGCACATGTGCCAGAGTCGTATGTGTATGTGCTGGCCTGAGCTGGGAAGTTTGGATCAATTACCACCACATTCATGGATTCAGACGAAGGCTATGGGCTCGCCAGTAACTACCTCTTGCCTGGCTCGTAACTCAGTAGGGTGGCGACACGATTGAATGTACCCGGAGATCTAGACTTGTAGTTGTGTTACCGGGATATTGGCCTGGGGTTAGGTGGTGTTACGATCACTTTCATTTCGGATCTACGAACACACCTTTCCCTCTCGTTATTCATTTGTAACCACTTATTAAAACCTACCCAAACACATTCATTGATCCATGCTCGAACCTGACCGATACCATAAGTATATACGAACACATTGTTACTGCATGTATTTAGATAATAGTTGTATATATACGCCAGATGAACTTCGGATTAACTCCAAGTTTCGAATGGTTTTCACCTGCTCATTTCTAGTTTGATTTGAGTCCTATCATAATTTGAAACTTCCCCCTTCGCACTCTCTCGACAGGCATTGCCTCGTCCTCCACCCACACTTCACCTCACTCAAAGTCCGTTGTACTCGACGGCAACCACCTTATTCCTCATCCCACTCTGCTTTACTCTTACTCGCTCAAGACCTCATTCGGAGGGATCCGAATTCCACATTCCTAGTTACTTTTCATATCGCACTCCATTCCTCCACCTGGGTAATCACGCGACTACAACTGTAGATTGCGACCCTTGTATTCCCTTTGTACATAAACCATTACTCTCACCTGGTAGTCCGCTCTTGAAGCAACCAGGAAGTAGGCGGTGCTGCAACCTTCTTGACAGAGGGGCCGTTGAAAAAAAAACCTACCAGAATTTACCCTGCTCAGACCTAAACGACTGAGTGTACGGCAGGAGGTTTCGAACCTCGCTGGTATTTCTTGATCCTCTCGCATGTCGAAAGACAACTACCGCAGAGATCAATTTCTCTTTTTGCACCTTCAAAGGCCAAACCATTTTATATAGTTACTATATCTACCTACCTCGTGTGTCCGGATCGGCAATTGGCCGGAACACTTTGAAGGAGTACCTTTACCTCAGATCTATACTCGTCTAAGTACCAGAACAGGGTCGTGCGCCCGGTACAAGACACTATTGTTCACACACCATGTCTTCATTTGAATTCTCTGCACCACTCTATCAATACTACACACGTCGATCTCCACCTCCACTCGTATCATCACCACACTCATCCCCTACAAATCCCACACCACCTTCACCGATATCACCAATGGGTTCTACTGGATCTGGAACAGGCAGTCTCGGAATAAATCCACCACCACCACCACCTCCGGGAGGAAACCCAAACCCACCCAGAAATCCACCTCCGCCTCCGCCAAACAACCCACCAGCAGCTGCACCACAGCCAAACACAAAGGCATCTGGAGGGAAACCCTCAGACTTCGATGGAACCAAAGACAAATATCCGTCTTTCAAAAGACAACTGTACTTATGGTTCCGAACACCCAAGAACATCGGTCTCACTGATGAACAGAAGGTCGATATGACTCTTTCGTACATGAAGGGTCCAAAGGTTGACGACTGGGTCAACAACTATTTTGAAAATGAATTTAACATTGGCTCTGACAGCTGGAATGTCAACTTCTATCAGTTGATTCTCGACCTTGATGAACAATTCCTCGATTCAAATCGAGTCGAACAAGCAGTTATCCAAATGGATAACTTGACCCAAGGCAATGGGACGGCGCAAGAATATTTCCAGAAATTGGAAATGTACATCACGCAAGCAGGCAGAAAGAAGGACGATAAACACACTATTGACCTCATCAGACTCAACTGCAATGAATCCATTGTAGACAGAGTCCTCGACAAAGACATGCGACCAACCGACTATGCAGCATGGAAGGAAGCGATCATTGATATTGACTCCTCGCGAAGGCAGCGGGAAGAAGAGAAGCGTCTGAAGAAGATCGGATATCGACCATACCGATCAAACCAGAACTATGGGCAGAAGTACCCTGCCTATCAGCAGCAGACCCAAGGATCGGGTCAGAACCAGAATCAGAGTCCAAAGAAGGACTACGGAGAAAAGAAAGATGGAACCGGGACAACGTTCACAGGGCGTGGACAGCCCATGGACTTGGACAGAAATTGCCTTAAGTGTAAGGCTAAGCAATCAGAGAAGGGCACTTGCGGAAGTGCATGGCATGTTCTCAATCGATCGGGACCTTCCACGAACACTCAACGTGTTCGAAAGAATGAAACCAAGACAGAGTCCAAGATCGAGGAGATCTCTGACTCAGATAATGACGACGATGACAAGATGATCGCCATGGTTCGGCGATGGATGGAGAAGAACCCGGAGAAGGCGAAGAAGCTGAATTTTGGCTCGGGCAAGGCTTAAACGCACAAAGTAACTTGCCGGATAAGAACAATGACTCGGATAAACCCCTGGAGGGTTCTATGAAAACATCTTCGATACATGCCTATAGTACATCGATCGGACAGTCCCCTTTTGTAAATATTTCATCTAACGCAGAGGCGTCTTCTACCAAGAAGCGCGGCAGGGTGGAACCTGTGCTTGATTCCTCTAAACAAAATACAAAAAAATCTGAAAATAAACTGAGTGCATCGGATAAAAGCATCACAGACATCGGACCACCATTACTCCGAGTTGTCAAAGGACTTGGAAGAGGGAAACAAATGGACCTACCGGTCACCGTGATCATCCCAGAAACAGAAAGAATTCATGATACAATAGCATTAGTTGACACCGGAAGTACCGGATCATGCATAAATTATAATTTCGTAAAAAGGCATGGAATTGAAACCTCTAGATTTGATCAACCAATCCAAGTCTATAACACGGATAACAGCGAGAATTCTCAAGGACCAATCACAGAATACGTCCGACTCACACTTCGAATCGGCGATCACCAAGAGAAGATCATGCTTCTAGTTACCGATCTGGGGAAGTCAGACATATTCCTCGGATATGAATGGATTGAATACCATAATCCATCAATAGACTTCAAATTGCAACTTGTTGACTTTAACCGATGCCCACACATGTGCGTCACTATAAGACAACAAGAAATCGAAGAGGGAGATACCGTATATTTACTCAATACCAATGCTTGGTATAAAGAACAGAGAGAATATATTCAGCGAATGCGTGTAACAGCCATGGACATAGCAATTGAACAAAGTAAACAAAAAAAGAAAAAAACCTTCGAAGAAATGGTTCCCGAACAGTATCGTGAATTCACAGACGTATTCACTGAGGATACTTTTGACGTCCTTCCAGAAAGGAAACCATGGGACCATGCAATAGAACTGCTACCAGATTCATCACTGTATGCAGGCAAAGTGTATTCCATGACTGTTGAAGAACAAAAAATCCTAGACAGTTTTCTTGAAGAAAACCTAAAGACGGGAAGAATCCGACCATCAAAGTCTCCCTGGGGAGCACCCTTCTTCTTTGTCAAAAAGAAAGATGGCAAATTGCGACCGGTACAGGACTACCGAAAACTCAATGATATGACCAAGAAAAACAAATATCCCTTACCATTAATCTCGGAGCTTATTGATAAGCTCAAAGGTGCTAAATATTTCACGAAACTGGACATTCGCTGGGGATACAATAATATTTGCATGAAAGAAGGAGATGAAGAGAAAGCCGCATTCATCACAAATAGAGGATTATATGAACCAACTGTCATGTTCTTCAGATTGACAAATAGTCCTGCTACATTCCAGATGATGATGAATGACATTTTCCATAATCTCATTCTCAAAGGAAAAGTAATCATATATCTTGACGATATACTCATATTTTCCGAATCCCTGGAGGAACATCGCCGAATTGTGAAAGAAGTCCTTAAAATATTACGAGAAAATAAGTTAACCTGCAAACCAGAAAAATGCGAGTTTGAAACTCAAGAAACAGAATATCTCAGACATATTATTTCGCAAGGAACTGTAAAGATGGATCCTGCCAAAGTCGATGGAGTTACGCAATGGCCAGCACCAAAAGCCAAAAAGGAATTACAGTCATTCCTTGGATTCGCTAATTTCTATCGACGATTCATCAAAGACTTTTCCAAAATTGCCACTCCCTTGAATAAATTAACCGGACAAGTAGAATGGACCTGGGGTCCAGAACAGCAGGAAGCTTTCAAACTTCTAAAGAAAACCATTACCATGGCACCGGTATTGGGTATTCCGAACAATGAAGATCAGTTCAAAGTCAAATGTAATGCATCGAAATATGCTATTGGAGCTGAACTTGCACAGAAGCAAGATGGACAATGGCGAACCATTGCCTTCTTATCAAAAAGCCTTTCACCAGCTGAAAGAAACTATGAGATCTACGATCGAGAGATGCTAGCCATCATGATCTCATTAGAAGAATGGCGTCACTTCTTGATGGGAGCTGCACAGAAATTTGAAATTCATTCTGATCACAAGAACCTTGGTTATTTCAAAAAACCCCAGAAGTTGAATCATCGCCAAGCGCGATGGATCCAAGAATTACAACAATATGACTTCAATTTGACCCACAAACCTGGAAACACAATGACGAAGGGTGACCCTTTATCACGACAGACCCATCACGATATTGGCGATAGTCATAATGAAAATATTACATTGTTAAAACCAGAATGGTTCCGAGCCAATGAAATTCTCGGATCATCAGCTTTACAGGAGAAAATCATAAAAAACACTGATAAATATGAAAACAATGTACGACTAAAATTA